CAGTTTCTGCTTTATGGTTTCCTCCTGTTGGTGACTTCCTGCTAGTAGAGTTCCTTCTTTGTGTATCTTGGGGAGACCATAGAACTTAGGGCAAATGGATGATTTCTCTCTGGGAATGATTCTTTGCTGGATCTCTTCGCTGATGGGGGAGGCTTTTATTTTGGATCTAGTGGTCTTTTCCAGGTAGGTGGTGGCGTTCATGCTTACGGGTTTGTATGTGGAGTCTTGGAGTAGGTTGGTTAATTTGGTTTGGTAGTCAGAAGTGTTCATAACCACTGTGGCATTTCGAAACCTCACCAAGATACTCTCAATCTTACACGGGAAAAGACCCGAATATGCCAAGACCTACATACCTGTACCCGTGAAAATCTACGAAAACACACACACACACATACATATATATACACACACATACTTCATAAGGATTTGTATATATATACACATTTACATTTATATTTACATTTATTCTATGGAATCTGGTCAATGACTTGAGATGTGCAAGTCCTTATGGAGTTCTTGAATTTGAGAAAATTCATAAGAATCTCAGCAAAATGTAATTTGTGTATATAGTGTTTCAAATGGATTCAGTCAAAGCTGTTAGGCAGAATATCCTATTAAGGCAGGGGGCACATAAAACCTCAATAAGGCCTTTTTCCAGAGGTGAACCCAATGAAGTTATATTTGTGGGTATGCATGGGATGTAGGGAGATGATAATGATTTTTGGATTTGAGAAATGCTTCTGTTTAAACACTTCCTGTATGGAGAAGTTTTGATCTAATCTCTGAAGACTCATCATCTTTTCTCTCCTGCAAATACTTTCCTCTTTTTGTTATTTTGGTCTTCAGTTCTTATCCCAGATTTCTTCCGACTCCTTTTGTATTCATTCTCCTTATTGTTGTTTTCATCTTTTCAAATAATTTCCTCTTTTCTTTTTCATTATTCCCTGTCTCTTCTCCAACTGGATTGTGTCTCCCCCCACCCAATGCATTTTGCTTGCCTTCACCATTTTGATTTCTTTTCCTTTCATTCAGATCTCTAATTTTCTGGGCATGCTTATTTCTATTTCCCTTTTCTTTTTATCTAAAATCTCCCATTCTTTCTCATTCTCCCACCTCTCCTCCTCTCTCAAGGTCATCCTTTCTACGATTCAATGTGTCATCCCCGCCCTTAAAGCTTGCCTGAATGAGACAATTTGCTTCCAGTGAAGTAGAACAAACTGAGATGAATGAAGCCATTAATCTATATTGACTAAATTCATCTCTGAGGATGAATGTAGTGTATGTGGGTGTCATTTGGGAAGCTTAGGGCTGGTCTGTCATATAAGCTTCAAAGCCTGATTTATCTATCATCTTCACCAGTTTTGGGATTCAGTTCAATAATACAATAATACAATAGCAGAGTTGGAAGAGACATTGGAGGTCTTCTAGTCCAACCCCCTGCCTAGGCAGGAAACCCTATACTGTTCAGACAAATGGCTATCCAACATCTTCTTANAGGTATTTGGCAAGCTAATTTTCAAGAGTGACCTCTCCCTATGCCGGAAGAGAAAAGTTTTTGATCAGTTGTGCACTACCTGCTCTAACATATGTGAAACATGGACACTAACCTCACAATCGATACAAAAGCTAAGAGTGGAAAATATATTGGAAAAATATATGCTCAGCATTACAAGGCAAGATAGAAAGAGCTGGGCACGGATTAGAGAACAAACAAAAGTATATGATATCATCAAGATAGTAAAAGAATTGAAATGGAAATGGGATGGTTACATAGCAAGAAGAACTGATGGCAAGTGGAGCAAGGCATTCATAGAATGGATCCCACTTGATAAAAAGAGACCTAAAACAAGATGAAAGAGACCTAAAACAAGATGAATCCACAACATTAGCAAGTATTGCGGGGCCAATTGGCCAAAGAAAGCTCAGGACCGTATGGGTTGGAAAGATGCAGAAGAGGCTTTCATCCTGCTGTGGATAGATGATGGCTAAAATGATGAATAGTTGTATGGTTTCTAGGGTGGGAATTATGGTTGTTTCATCTGGTACAGTATATCCTGTGGATTTTTACTCATCTTTCTATCTGAACATTTAAAAAAATGGGCAATACAAAATGAAACAGTAGAATCTACCCAACCTTCCCCCACCTTTAGCTACTGCGTTTCCCCAGTGCTGAGTTGTTCTGTGTTCATCTTAAGATGACCTAAAGCTCTACCTGCTCCTTTCTGACTCCTTTCTTTCCAATACTGTTTCAGTTTTGACTCACCACTTCGATGGTGCTGACTTTTGGAGTACGATAAGGGAAGCAATTGGTGGATTCCGTTGTCACTGCTCTCCTCCTCTTTATGTATCAACAGCTGGGAAAACTATCTTGGAAAAGAACATGCCTGGTTGCAGCACTTCATACACTCATACTACAGTGTCCAAGGGCCATAGTCAAAAAAGTCAAAATGGTGGCCATAACTGTGAAATTATGGCATGAGCTGTGGTGGGACAGTGGGTAGAGTGCAGTACTGCAGGCTACTTCTGCTGATCACCGGCTGCCAGCAGTTTGGCAGATCAAATCTTACCAGGTCAACTCA